AGGTTACAATAGTTGATTTATTTTAATATACTCTCTTTTATAAATATAAATATATTTTAAACTAATTGATCTAAATAAATAAAATTAAAAAATTAACTATATTAAATTAATAAAATTTAACACAATTAGTTATATAAGCAATTTAATATATATATATATATATATATATATATATATATATATATATATATATTCTAATTTTAAAATCAAATTTAGAAAATAATATATCTTTAAATTATAATTTTAATACCTAAATATGAGAATCTTAGCTAAATTCTAGACTTAGAAGATAATATTTGGCCTATTTACATATCATCTATTAGATGTATATGGATTATTATTTTTAACATTAGTCGACTTAGTTATATGAGATTGACTAATTCAAAATAGCTTTTAATGTGCCAATTATTAGTTATTTGATTCAGCAAAATAATTGTAACCAACATTTCTTATAAAAAAATAAATTTATAATTTATAAAATTTTAAAGTCTTATTCAATAATTTGCAGTATATTTTAAAATATATAACATTAAATTATATTTCATAGTATTTTTTTTTGTAAAAACCGATTTTACTTATAAATAAACTTTATACATGATTTTTTAAAGAAAAAAGTATTATGTCTCAAAAAACTAAACTAGATTAACATTTTGTATTTATATTATAAGTGTTACAACTATATTCTTTTTTGATAAATTTAAAAATTTAATTGAAAGTAAAATATTTTTTAAATATTTCATACCAAAGTATTTTTTCATAAAAGAATCATAATCAATACACAAACTAAGAAAATAATACAAGATACATTAATTAGAACATCAATGGAATTAATATAGATCTAATTTTTAATCTAAATAATTAATATGCATACTCATTTAAATATAAAACAAGACATAAATGAAAAATCTTGTCATAGGCTTATTTAATATACTGTCTCTATATACATGTTTTTTTTTAAAAAAAATTGATATTATATATTTTTTAGAAATACAATAAATAAATTTAAAGATTTTTTTCTTTCCTATGCCTTATTTTATTTTATTAATAAAAAATCTAAACTATATAGATTATTTCTTAAATATGAATAATTAGTAGAATATTGATTCAAAACACAAAAAATTGCAAACAAATTTTTATGAATATATAAATAAATTGCATAGGATTCAAACATATTTTAATATTATATATATATATATATATATATATATATATATAGAGAGAGAGAGAGAGAGAGAGAGAGAGATAGAGAGAGAGAGACTTTATCAAAGAATTTATTAACAATTTAATTTCTTGTTCTGACGATATAATAACAAGGTGTGTTTCTTAAACCATCTCATTACTTTAAAACTTAGTTTTATTAAGTAAAATTTTAATATATATAAAAATATCAAAGAAAATATATTCAAAAGTTCCAAAAGGCACAAAAAATGCTATCTAAGAATACTATGTTGTTTAGAGATTTATTAAACACTAAGATAAAAATTTGTCAATTTTGCAAACAAATGATCTAAAACCTAAGCAAAAGTATTCTATCCAAAAATGGAATTGTGTTCTTTTGCATCTACCATATGATTAAAAAAATATGTCATTTAATTATTTTTTTAATTAAATTTTTTTTTAATGATATATTTGTAATATTACCTTAAAAGATTTAGTACATCTGTTGTCAAATATATCTTTGTTGAAGTTTCAAAATAATTATAGGAAAATGTGATATCATTTGAAATATTTTTTTCTTCAATGAAATAAAAATATAAAATACTTAGATATAATAATTTAAGATCAAAATAAACAATAAAACTTGATGAATCCATAATTAATTTGAAATAGGTTCAATTCTAACCAACTCAATATCTTTTGTAAGTATGATAAAGGATTTTTTAAGATTTTTTTAAGGTAGTTCAAAGTTCTTTTTATAATCAATAAATGATATATATATATATATATATATATATATATATATATATATTATAAAGAAAAAGAATCAAATATGTTCTGCCTTTTATAAATATAATTAAAATTTTGATATCTCTAACAATATTACGTCAGTCAAAAGATTTATTTTAAATCAAGTATAAATACCAAAAGAATCTTATTTATTTCCATGGTGATATATTAATTTTAAAACCAAATCATGCCATAAATTTTAAAAATAGAAATTATAATCTCTGATCTAAGTTTATAAATTTTTATATGAAATTTTAATAAATGATACATTTAAAATTGATTAGTTTCATCTAAATAACTACACATTTCTTATTAATATTTAAAATTGATTGGTTTCATTTAAATAACTACACATTTCTTATGATTTTTTTATGCTATAAAATTTAATTATGTATATATACATGTAATGTAAAAGAATCAAATTAAAAGTAATAAAGTATTAAATTAAATTTTAATAATTAAAATTTATTTAAAAATACAAAATTTAAAGCTTTGGACATGAAAATACTTATTACTTTGTAAACATCATTTATACAAAACATCTTAGTAAATATTTTGACAAATTTGGAATAAAGCAAGAATGTGAAGCACATAAGTAATTAAATACCAAATATTACACATTTAAAGTAAAACTTAATATATTCTTCTATATAAAAAAAATCTAACAAGAATATCATAATAAAAACATATATAAGTACACAAATTTTAAAAATCGTATTTTAAATTCAATTATTTTGACTATGAATGCAAAAAATACCAGCTTAAATATTTTTAAATTAAAACCTCAATCACTCTACTATTCCACCTTCTAAATGTATAGAATTACGAGCTATTCAAATTTTACATGAATCAATGAAACAAAAATGAAAAGAACTAGTAAAATAATACACCCATATTCTGATAACATTGAAGTACATTTTGCAACATTGTCAGTTGCGAACATCACATTCATCAATTCTTCATACGATCAAAACCCTGACAGCCAAACAAAAAACTATAGTCTAAACTGGTGAGTTCGCTTAATTCCTTCGGTATATCACTCTCAGCAGCATGTTCAGAAAACCTGGAGCCTCAAGCTAGTTTTCATAGTCTTGCAACTTGCGAAACGAAAGAGGAGAAGCATGATTTAGTATAAGCGTTACACGGACCAATCCTTGAAAACCCACTCTCAGGCATGGTTTGAATTGTCACAAATCTGCTCACATACAGGACCTAGCGTCTCATTCCAATTTACTGGCAAGATTTGAAGAGGGAGGGCAAGGCTAACAGCGATGGCTGACATCTAGTTGTGAAAACCAGTTAAAATTACACAAAAGACCATGTGTGTCGGGCAATGAGATGCAACTGCGCCTGGCTTGATTTCTTCTCGAATTTGGCAACTGGGTCCACATTCTAGACTGTTGTGCACTTCGACGAGAGCACGAGACTTGATTGCGTGACTGTGGTAAGCTACATACTATACCAGGCGCTGGAAAACTCTGGTACTTCTTGTTCTGCACCTCCAAGTTTTGCTTCCTCATGGTAAATCCTCCTCGTGCTGCACAAGGCTTCTGCATCGGTCTACATTCCTGAGCTGTAGAGGACCTGCGATGCACAAAGAGGAACAGACAGCGGGAGTGCCATATGGAGGCGACAAGCAAGCTCTTGAAAAAGATTCTCCTGGTCGCGAAGAATCTTGTCGGCGCTGGGATCGGAATCAGGACGGAGCAGGATGACTGTCACTAGAGTTGGGGTCGGAATCAGATCGAAGCTAGATGAATCGAAAAAAAGGGGCACTACGACGATTTTCAACACAGAGCTAGATGAATTGAAAAACGAGGGCACTACGACGATTTTCAATACGGAGCTAGATGAATGCACTGAGGGATGCTTTAATGAAGAACATTCATTTGAGAGCCAAGCAGCGCCGATCAGCGACAGACAGGCCGACTGCAAAGTTCAACAGAGGGTTCGTGGTAGTAAAGTTTCCTCATCCACTGCCCCATACGTGTATTTAGAATAATTAATCTTGCTTTTGCGAGTATTTTGACTTCTACTGTGCTCTTTCGCCTCCGCCAGACTGAAGTGGGAGGGAAACAACAGCCGCTCTTGGTAGAGGTGGTCAAAGATTCCATTTATGCTGCCTTCCTTTGCCGCACTGAATTATTTGTGGTGCAAGTGGACTTGTTGTGTGCACGCATTCAGTGAGAATCTCTTCCTGATGACGATGGTCCTGGTGCTCATATGAAATGGTTCCGGTCCAGCAGCATTTGCTTGTCTTGCTATCTCGCCTCGTCCGTGCAACGATGTTGTGACACTGCGCTGTAGAAATCATTGTCAGGAGTCGCCTATTGAGCACACTGCGTCTGATTTAGAGCAGGGAGAAGTAAGCAGTGTGGAGAAGCTTAGACCAGACGATGGCGACGGAGGATAGAAGTGTGGACTGTTAACAGGACGCTGTTGTCCATCTTATGACGGAGA